TAATTTGTGGATTCCACAGAAGGTAACTCGGAAGGGAACACCCAAGGTTAAGAGCTTCTTACCTTCCCTCCTCTACTGATGAGGAAAATGAGGCTTTGCAGTGACTGGCCCATGGTCAGACATCTATTGCTAGTTTCCTCTGCCCACCCTAAACATGAGGAGATGGGCAGATGTGCAAGTGAAACACTGAGGCTAGGAACAACCAGCATCTTCCTTCACAGCAGCAATTGCCCAGCTGGTAAAAACAGGTCTCAGGTAGAGGTCTATCCTGTTTGAGGATTTGGGTTACGGGGAGAGACAAGAGCCTCTTCAGGCAGCCAAGTGAACCTGGCCCACCTGCTGCTTCCTGCTAATTCCTCCACAAACCCAGTGATTCTAGGGAGATTTCCTCCCCTTCTCCACTTGTTCACAAGCAGCTCCTGGGGCAGCATGGATGGATGCCTGGGAACATGACAGCCGCCGAAGAGGTAGAGAAAAGGAGTGTGGGCACCAGGAAGAAAATAGCTGGGTAGCAAGGAAGTGAGTAAGCTGAGAGGACTGTGAGGTTGACTGAAGGGGTGGTGGCTGGGCAGCTGGCCTTACCACTGATCCCAGTAGACTTTGACTCCCAGTAAAAGATGGGCCCCCTAAAATGGCTCACTAGAATGGCGGGGGCTTTAGTTTTGTTCTCAAGCCCCTAAGGAAAGTGGGAGAGAAAAGGCAGTGAGCTCTTCTTTGTCCTGCCCTGGCCCCTTCTTTGTCCTGCTCTGGCCCTTTGGCCCAGAGCTGGGAAGCTGCCTCAGAGCGTGGGAGGGCCTGGGAGGGGCGAGGACAAACAAGGAAAGAGGCTTTTCAGGAAAACTTGGTTCAGAACTCAGCCTCCACCTCCTCTCCCTCCTCCCCTTGGGCTCTGGAGGGAAAGCTGGAAGGTGAGCTGCCATGTCTGGCCCTGCATGCTCTCTGTGCCTCCTTTCTGACTCTCCACCAGAGCCAGGGCCACAGCCCAAGGATCTGCCAGGGCTGTACTCAAAGTCAGAGCCCTTGGCATGACCTCTAGCTCTCTACCAGCCCCAGTACCACCACTAGCACACTCCCTTTAGTTGTCCTGGATCCCCCCCAAGGCCCACAGCTCTGTTGGCTGCTCTGGTGATCTGGCCCACCCTCTGTTCTACTTGCTGGTGTTTATCCCCGTTGGAGGGGGGGGGGGCGTCCAGGGGTCAAGGCTCCCTCCCTGACTTTGCAACAAGTGACAGGGAAGAGGAAGCAGAGGCAGCTAGAGCTGAAATTCAGTCAGCCTAACACTTGGCAAGAAGCTGGGTTGTTTTGCAATCTGTGTGAGGTATGAAGGTGGAGGTTGGGAGGGAGGAGGCATAAGATGGGGATTACCTCTGCTGCCTCCTTCCTCTGCACTTCTTAGAGGGCTCTCCTTTTCTCCCTTGACAAAGAAGTACCTTTGGGATCTGCCTTCTATAATTGTAGAGGATACAGAATAATGAGAGGCAGGACTTGCCCTCGGCTCCAGAAGCTTCTAATCTATTCACCTGGTTCTTCTCTCTGCCAACAGCTGCTGGGATAAGGACAGAAACTATGGGACCCAGAGCCACCAAAAGGATGAAGAAAAGGCTTGGTTGTCTGGCTTTTGAGTACCTGGGGTAGAATCTAGCTTTGGCCTCTCTTTGACCTCAATCTTGACCTTCAATAACAGGTGTATCTCAACACAGCCTCCCACCCCCTCCTGCCAGCTAGACATTCCAGTTCACTTCTACACACACACACACACATACACACACCATTCCTCCCACAACCAAATTCAGCCCAAGAAGGAACTGCACCCTTAATAAACACGATTCAGATTGGAACCGTGGGAAATGGATACACGTCCAAGACTTGGCAGAGCAAGGCACAGGCCTGGCTCCAGGTTGCACACACTTCTTCTCAGATTCCTCAGAGTCCAGGATTCTGGGGACTGACCTCACCATTTAGGGACAGGGTTGTATCCTGTGCCTGTGTGTTTCCATATATGTCTTTTTAATTCTGTGTTTCTTTGGACTGGGAAGGATGTAAAGATAGAGAAGGCAATGGACTGAGAGCTTTTAAGTTCTGGCCAGAGAGAGTGTGTGTGTGATCATATGACTGTGATTGTGGGTGTGTAAGTGTGAATGGTATGAGTGTGTGTGGATGTGTGTGTTTAATCCAAGAACTATTCTCCTTGTCAGTAGGTTGTTCCAGGTAACAGGGCAACGCCCTGTGCAAATCCTGGGTGGCCTCAATCTTGGGCCAACGTTGACGGCCTGACTGAGGGTGGGTCCTTGCTGCAAACCAGGTCAAGCTGCAGTAGGTGCCTTCCCTTCCCCCTCCTTTCTCACCAAGCAAACCATTGCCCAGGGGGAAAACCTGCCTGCCCAGGTGATGCAAATGTGGGACAACCTGGGATGTCCCAGAATCAGGGACCCAGCCTCCCTAGATCCTTTTCTGGTTCTCGAAAAGGCCAGCTAGCTTGCCCCAACCTTCCCAGAGCCTTGATGTCTTGGGAAGGGTCAAAGTCTGAGCTAATTTGTTATTTGGGAGAGATGGAGACAGAGAGGGTGAGGCAAGAGTCAGGGCTGGGTCCCATGGATGTGCTTTGCCTCAACTTCTGTCTCTACCTCACTACTCCTTTTTTCAAGGAAAGGGAATAATAAATATGTATTAAGTACCAACTGTATGCCAGGTACTGTGCTATTACCTCGGTTAATATCCAAAACAACCCTATGCTATAGGTCTCATTCTTATTTTAGAGTTGGGGAATCAGAGACTTAGGGGCGTTAATTAACTTGCCCAGAATGCTCCAGAGACTAAGCAATTTGTCTGGAAGTGTATCTGCATAGCATTTGACTTAAGATTAAGAAGGTGTCGCATCATGTGGCTGGGTGGCTCAGTTGGTTAGAGCGTCGTCCTGATACACCAAGGTTGCAGGTTCCATCTCCAGTCAGGGCACATACAAGAAGCAACTAAGTAGAACAACAAATTGATGTTCTGTTTTCCTCTCTCTCTTTCTCTCTCCCTCTCTCTCTCTCCCTCTTCCTCTTCCCCCGCTCGCTCCCTAAAACCAATTCTAAAAAAAGGATGTCGCATTAAAGGATGGCAGAGTTGGAGATTATTGGAGGGCTGACACTTTCCCAGCCATCTTTTGGAACTACCCCTATCAACAGCTCAAAGAAAATGGCAAATGTTGGGAATTCCACCCCAGGCACGAGGATGAAACTCTTTCCACCAGCAGGACTGCCCTTCCTGAAGAGAATGATTGCTTCTGGTGCAATGTCTGAGCAGCAGGCTCATCCTGGTGTTGCTACGCAATGATGGTGCTTGGAAGTGAGGTGTGTCTCCCAGACCAGACGAGAAGCCTGAAGCACTCGGTGCTCCTGCCCCCACAGTACCTCAGCTTCCCAGAAGCTCCGTTTTAATTCCAGCCACATTTCCTCTTCCCTAAACTCCTCCCTCTGCCTCCTACCTTCTCCTGGGCTGGTGGCAAAGGAAGAAGGTGGCCAGCATAGGATGCAACAAACAAACTTCCACGTAGACTGACTGCTACAGAGGTAACTGAAGCAGGCGTCTGAGCTCTCCCCTGTCCCAGACTTTGGGATCTGCAGCTGGTGATGAGGGGAGAGGGGCAGGTAAGTCCAGGCCCTTTGAAGAGCCATGGTGCCTCCTTCCAAGGGATGTATTAAGAATGGATTGATTCATTCAGGGAGAGTGTTGAAAGCCACCAAGGACAGACAGAGGTTGTGTAACAAGCCCTAAGGAAACAACATCCCACTTCCCCATTCACCTGCCTGAGAGACGTGTACCTCTAAAAACCCCTTCAAAAGCCACCTACCATCCTGGGCCAATGGCTCTTCAGCAAATCATTTGGGGAACCTGAAGGAGGGTCCTCCAGGAGGTGGCATGGACTGTCCTTGGCAGTGGCAGGCTAATCAAACCCCAGATTGCCCTCTTTCTGGCCTGGGGTTCCGCCTCCTGGTTGGGGGGCAAGGGCACCCAGCACATGCTATGCCAGGGCCATCCCGTCCAGCCTTTGCTATGCTGCTGCTGCTGGTGTCATCTTGCAGGTCCCTGCACCTGCCATTGGCCGTCCTTGAGCCTCTGTAGGACTGAGATGCAGGAGACTGTGTGTGGGGAGTGTGCAGGGGCGTGGGGGTGGGGGTGGAGGGGCGCCTGTGTGCCTGCCTCCTTTCCCATTCCTTACCCCCAGATGAGATCTGTCTCAAACCCTCTCCTTATCCAGCATCTCTCCCCAGTCCCTTGGCCTCTGCAGATCTTCACGCAGCTGCCTGGGGAGCCGGCGGCTCATGACAGTCCTCGTGAGCGGGATGGACCTTGGAGGAGCCATGGCCTGGGCAGGCGTGTGTAGCTTCTGGGAGGCTTACATAAACACTGGCTGGGATCGGGAGGGAAGGGGGGTGTGTGTGTGCAGTGGGCTGCCCAGGAAATAAAGCAACCCCAGCCCCGCCAGCTCAGCCTGCATGGAAAGAAGGAACAAGGCTAATTTTCCCTCCTCTCATCCCTCTCCCCCCTGGTCTGCAGCTGTTAGTTGGGCTGGAAAGACTGCAGTATCATGGGGGAGAGGGGCGGGGGAAGGAGAGAGAGAGAGACCAATTTGGGATCCCTCCCCTTCTTCTAAATTGGGGGGGAGGATGGGGAGAAGCAATTTGCCAAAGAGATTTTCAATGCCACAGGAAGGAGCTTTGTCTCATTAGAATGCGCATTTGCACCCTGAAAAAAAAAATCTGTGCTGGTTGCAAAAATTCAGACGTGTGTAGGGGCCCAGCGGAGATTTAAAAAAAAAAAAAAAAAAGCGCTAGCTCTGCAATGCAGGATCTGCGAAGTTTTGGTGCCACGAGGAAATGTGGGTCGTGCTCATTTCATTTGCTTGTTCCTGCTAACCTACTGTCCGCCTGACTCCAGCACAGCCTCACATCTCAGTCAGAGGCCCTGCTGCTCAGAACCAGGGTCATGGGCAGGGGACTGAAGCCGAGGGCTGGAAGGGGGAGTCAGGGGTTAATGTGCTGAGAGGATTCCAGGGGGCTGGGAGGGCCAGACGGGTGGGAGGGGACACTGGCCTGAGGGATGGAGGCTGAACTTGCCTTTGCACCCGTTTGCACCCGTGTTTGTTCTCCAGCTGGACCCGGGTTAGTGTGAAGTTCTTCCAGCTCTCCTCCCCCCACCCCCCACCCTACTCCCAGCTCCTCCCTATCCCCAGTTGGCAGAAGGACTTTCTCCTTCCTGTCCACTGACTCCAAAGACCAGCCCTACAGAATGAGCCCGTGCTTCATTCCCTGACCCCAGGGAACCCTGAACTCTCCTTGTCCTCATCTGGAATGGGCGCTTGCTGCATCTCTGTGGGGTGTCCTCCTTCCCACAAAGAGGGGACCAGGCAGCCCTATTTGGGGAGCCCAGGCTGCAGGGAAACCAAGTCTTGACTCTGAGCTGACATTGCACATCAGCTCGAGGGCTGGCCTGGACCAGGCCGTGCTCTTGGCTGGGGGAGGCCCTTTGTTCATGTGGGACTGAGGGCTCTGGGTTGTGTAAAGGCCAAGGGGCTGCCTGGGGAGAGACTATGCCTGGAAAAACCATGTTTCTTTCTCGGGTGTTTGCTCCCCTGGTGCCTCAAGAGAGACAAAAGGAGACAGTAGCAGGATAAAGAGCCAGGAGAGGAGCAGAAGGGCACCCAGTGCCCTTCACTCCTTCCCCATCTTCCCTCCTGTTTCCCGGGCCAGCAGAGGACAGGGCCCAGTGTGTTTGTGCCGGCTGGAGGCTCACGCGGGCTGCCCGGGTCACATGGGCTGGGCATGTGCAGCCTGCTCCATTTCTACCACAACAACTCGCTCATAAACAGCCGGGCTGCTGCTGGCGGTGGCGGTAGAGACATGTGCAAGCGAGGGGGTGGGGCACGTGGCCCTGCCCGAGCCAAGGGAAGGCGCTCGCTCAGCACTGCCCCGCCCTCCCCACACTGGGGCTGCCTCGCCACAGGAAATTCCTAGTGCTCCCTTGCTGCTGCAAAACATGTTTTTGGGAAGTGACTTTCAATAAGGATGGAGTCGATGGGCTATTAAAAAAGAGAGAGAACGGGTAATGAGTCGGAGACCGACTTCTGCTCGGCTGGTCCTTTCTTAGATCCCTGTACTGGTTGGGGTGGAGGGCTGAGCAGGAGTCAGGTGTTTCTAAGTCTTACCTGTTTCTTCCTTCTAAACCTATATGAAGGCAGAACCAGCAAGGGCTCCATGGTGAGTGTTGGGGTGAGGAACAGAGTTCCCTAAGATGGTGGCCCCAGGACTAGTAGCAGGGTCAGCAGCAATTGAGGACCTATCAGAAATGTAAATTCTCAGACCCCCTTGAATCAGACACTCAGCAGTGGAGCCCAGCAATCTGGCTTTTTAAAAATATATATTTTTTTATTGATTTGAGAGAGGAAGGGAGAGAGGGAGAGAGAGAAAAAACATTAATGAGGAGAGAGAATCATTGATCAGCTGCCTCCTGCATGTCCCCCTCTGGGGATCAAGCCCACAACCCAGGCATGTGCCCTAACCTTGTTCCCTAACTGGGAATGGAACCATGACCTTCTGGTTCATAGGTCTACGCTCAACCACTGAGCCACGCTGCCAGATTCAGCAATCTGAGTTTTAAGGAGCCCTCCAGGTGGTGGGTTTGGTCCCCAGTGAGGGCACATACCCAGGCAACCAATCAATGTTTCTCTCTCAAATTTCTCTCTCTCCCACCCTTCCTCTCTCTAAAATAAATTTAAAAAATAAAATAAAAAAGTTTGGCCAGAGGGCATAACCAGATACAGTTAGAATCAGTGAAAAAAGCATTTATTGAGTTCCTACCTACCATGTGCAAGGATTCTGGAAATGAGGGCAAATGAGTAGTAGGAAGAGAAATAGCTGAGATCTGAAAGGGAAAGGGGCGGGGGGAGGGGGAGCTAATAAGGGGAAGAGAGGGCTAGGATTGTAATTGTGAGTCGTAATTGTTTATCTTTTCTCCGTCTTACCTACTTTTCTTCCTGCCCCGAGGCTCCTGTTAGAGCAATGGATTGGGGTTTAAATGGTTTTGAGGTTGGAGGTAGAAATTGGTCCCTTGTCTATTTTTGCTGGCATGGGGACCCCAAGCTAGATGCAGCCATAGGTCCTTGCTTCCCATGCACAACTAAAAGGATATGAGCAACACACACACACACACACACACACACACACACACAGGCTCCCTGGGATCTCCGAGGCAGGGCTAGGGAGAGCCAAGAATAGGAATGAGGTCCCAGAGGGTTGGAAGTACCCCACAAAATGAGTTTAACAGATAACAAGCAGGAAAAAGTCTTTCAATGGGGGAGGGTGGGGACAATCCTGGCCTTTTCCAGCTTCCTGAGCCCCAGAAACTGTGACCAGCAGCAGCAGAGGGTCCCTAAGGCAAGTCACAAAGGCTCCTGAGAAGGAGACCTGAGCCTGGACAGCTCAGTGACTGGAGAGTGCTGAATTGGGGATCAGAAGGGTTCCCTGTCCCAAGCAAACAGAACAAGGGTTTTTTTTTTGGGGGTGGAGGAAGCCAGGGATGGGAGCCTTGCTCAGCCCTCTCCTCAGGCCTTCCCTCCCCCATCACATGCAGCCCCTCCGGAGCACAGCTCTCCTTACTGTCTCAAGTGTGACCCCTTGACTCATGGTCTCTCCCT